CTCCCGTTGCTATGGCAAGCCCACCCCCATTTCCATGGAAACCCCTCCCCAGAAGCCCAGCACCCCCCCGCACCTCAGGGGTTGAGGGGGGCCTGGGGTGACACTGGCTCCGCTCGGCGCGAGGCGACCGCAGCGCGCGCGGCGGAAGCGGAAACGGGGCCGCGCCGGAAGCGCGTGGAGGTGGTGGCAGGGGGCGGGGGACGCTCTAACCACGCGCCTCTCCGGGCCGCGGCCCTAGCTGGATTGGAGGACTCGCTGGGGACTCTCTAGCCCCAGCCTCTGGTTCGGAGGACTGACTAGGCCCCAGCCCTCTCTAACGTAGAGGACTCGCTAGGGGCCGGTCTAGGAGGCGGGACTCTATGGCTCAGAAGATTGTCTACCTCCCGCCTCTATGGTGCAGAGGACTCACTCAGGTCCAGCCTCGCTCGAGGGCGCCCAGCCCAGGACAAATCAACTGAGGGTGGGGGGAGGACTCGGAGAGACCAAGTCACTGGATCTGGGGGGAGGAGGTGGGTGATACCAAGTCTCGGTGTAGGGGGAGTGGAAGAGACCAATTCCCTATAGCGGGAGAAGGGGTGGGTGATACCAATTCTGACTGCGGTGGGAGGAGATGGGAGAGACCAATACAGTAGCTATAGAGGGAACAGGTAGGGGGTGGGTGATACCAACTCTCTCAATGGTGGGGGAGGTGGGAGTGGGAGAGACCACTTCACAGGGTGTAGGGGTGGGTGATATCAACTCTCTTGGTGCTGAGGGGCGGAGTGGGAGGGAACAACTCACTGGCCATGGGGGGATAGGTGATGCCAAGTGTTTTAATACTGGGGTAGAATGAGAAAGACCAAACCCAAGATAAGGGGGGGAGGGTGATACCAACTCTCTGTTCGGGGAGGGGGGGAGAACGGGAGAGGCCAACACATTCCTAGCGGGGGTGGTGGTGGGAGGGGACTAGGATGGGCCAGACTAACTAGGTGGGGGAACGTGGGAGAAACCAACTGCTTTCATGAGAGGGGAAGCAGGGCGATACCAAATCACGCCCCACCACACCCAGCCTGAGAAAGAAATAACCCTCCCAGCACAGCTGTGGTGCAGTCCAGGGTAAGGCACCCCTTCACCTCACCACCCCTAGCCCCGCCTCCTCCGTGCTGTGATTTGCATAATTAGCCGCGCCTCCATCCCATACCCTAGCCCTGCCCCTTTCCAGCCTCCATCCCATGCACGTGCTCCCGGGAGCTGGGGGAGAACCCAGTCGTCCGCCCCAGCTCAAAAAAAATCTCCCGCCTGCCCCTTTAAGAAGCAGCTCAATTGTCACTCATTGTCTGCCCAGGCAGCCAATCGGGAGGTGGG